TGAAGGACTCAGCTTAAGGACAAACCAAACAAACAAAATGAATGAATGATCAAAGAAATGAGCCATACAAACCAACCAACCAGTTATTCAACCAACTAACCAACCAAATAAACAAACAAATAACTGGTAGTAGGGACATGGTCATCTTTAAAATCTTAGTACTTGGACAATGAGGCAGAAAGATTATCTTCAGTTTGAAGACAGTCTGGGCTACAGATTGATTAAGTTCTAGGCCAGCCTGGGATATAGCATAAGGTCTCATCTCAAAGTAAAACTAACAAAAACAAACAAACAAACAAAATACTCAACCCAAAACAGTAGCAATGACAATAACAAAAACACATAACTTCTTTCACTTTTTTGATGAAAACTTCTCATCAATATATGTGAACAATTTGGCAGAACATATTGTTTGTTTTATCAGATAGCTTGACAATTTAATTCACTTGTGTTTGAAGATAAAAGAGCATTTAAAAGTTTTAAATTTATAAGAGGCAGTACACCCTTTCTAATGATCTTTCATTGATAATATACTCTTTCTCTTACAATGTCTTTTCCATAGAGTCAATCATCCTGATTAAAAATATTTCACTGTCTGATCTTTCTAATTTATATTTTAAGTCTACATTTTCTTGTCCTGTACCATTTTTTCCAATCCAAGTAAGTATAGTTTTAAAGTAGGTCTTATTCTTGTTTATTCCTCTTTCAAGCAAAAACTGTATTCCATCTTCAAGATACCATTATCTTTTGCATTGAAAGCTAATGGTCTTGATGGTTATTGTATCAGAACCTATAAAATAGATCTCCCCACAAATGCTCAAACCTCCCCAGAACCCATTTTTGTATGCAGCTTGTGATTTCATGTAACATAAGCAATGAAAAAGATGAGTATTGGTAGCTTAAGGTAATAATGTGGGGTTTTCCTGTATCGTACATGTGTCCTTCTGTAACATGGCATAACTATCGCTAGAACCACTCATTATAATGTGGAGATTCACGTTATATTTGGCTGAAAATATTCCAAATATATCCAGTAATTTTGGTGTTGATACTGAATTAACCCTTCACATATGACAAGAATTTTTGCTTGCTCTTTTCAGCTTTGTTTTATTTATACTTGGCTGTGACCTCTGATTTTAAAATGTTATTAGCTGAAACTTTTCTTTATTCTCAAACTCCCTTTGTTTCTTTTTTGGACAAACTTTACACTAAGATAATTTTTATCCTGAAAACCTCTTTTTTTCTCCTTCTTTCCCTCCTTCTCTTCTTCTTTTTTTTGTGTTTTTCTTCTTCGAAATGAATTTATGTAGCTAAGGTTAAACTTGAGCACTCTATAAACACTGGATGACATGAAACTCTTTTTCCTTCTGCATCTACTTCCTAAGTCCTGATATCACAATTGTGTGTCACCATATATGAAAATATACATATATATGATAGACATAATACATACATGCATGCATGCATACATACACAGACACAGTTACACACACACACACACACACACACACACACACACACACACACACACATCTATTTATTCCTAGTTCATTACTGCCAATGTCATGGCCAGCTTTACTCTACTACTCGTTTCTTCTTGGTATTGATTTCTTGCCATGTTAATTTCTCTGCCACTTAGACTGCATCTAACACTGGGCTAGGCAAAAGACTTTCAGATAGAGGTAAAACAAAATAAAACACCAAAAATCTTGTGTGTTCAAAGGTAAATTTGAAATATGTTAAATGCATATGTCAAATCCAGTTTTGAACTACTCCAATCTTTGCTTTAATGAAGTGAAAGAATAAGTCTTCCAAGAGAGAAATCTCACTCTTACACACCTTTGTTTAATAGCATATATATTGGGTCTCCCATCCTTCTCTTATATAGTACTTTTGGTTCTTTTCCCTGATGACATAAAAGTTCTTGGCTAGAATTCAAGAAATAACACAATCGACTTTCTATTTTTCTTTCCTTTCTTTAAAAATATTTGTTGTATCACACAGACATGGCACACACACATGGCAGGGGAATGGGGAGTGAGAAAGAGAGAGATAGAGATAGAGATAGAGATAGAGAGAGAGAGAGAGAGAGAGAGAGAGAGAGAGAGAGAGGCCATCAGGATGGATACACACACACACACACACACACACACACACACACACACACACTTCCCAAGTCATAAGAAAAATGTTTGGTATTGCCAAGACAATATTTTATTTCCTGCATCTCTGCCCACAAGCCACCTTGGACAGCTCCTACCAATGTCTTAGCCGTTAACTCAGATGTCTCTTCCTGCACAAGCCTCATTCCCAATTGGGCCTCACTTGTAGATATCCATGTACACAGCTCCTTTTGCTCTGATTTCATTCTGTCATAATTGTTACCCAACCCTATGACCTTATGTCACAGCAGCTATCTGTTTACATCTATGAAGCTTCTCTCATTAATCCCGCACTTTAGGAGGCACTCCATACCAACTCCATTATTACCAAGGACAATGGTCCACACAAAAGCATTAGGGTTGAAGGGTGCTAAGGCACAGAATATTTTATTTTTATTTATTTATTTTTATTGTATATCAGGGGCTCAAATGCACCTTCTATTTCCAGAACAAAATCTTAGGTGACAGGATTTCTTCTGATCTTCTAATTGCTAATATAGTGTAGTTGAGTGAGGGGTCATATTGCCATCTGATAAAATTAATTTGTAATTTGTATCCTCACCATCATTTTACTCCTGTTACATTCCAGGATCCTAGCTCCTTTTTTTTCATCAGACTTTACATTACATACCAGACATAGTGACACAGGCTTCTAATACCTGCATTCAGGAAGCTGAGGCAGGAACATCATGAGTTGAAGACCAGTCAGGGCTAGAGAGTAAGGTCATGCTTCAAACAAAAACAGAAGCATTTCTATGAAACTTTCAGCGATGTTTATCTCAACTACAGTTTTTCTATTCTTCGTATGATGAATCTTAATTCCTGTAATTAACCTGTAAGCCCCACCTGCACATGAATTAGGTAACTTTCTGGAATGCTGGGAATTATAGTTCTGGGAAATAAGAAAGCCTCATGGGAAGGTACAATGACCTATAGGTTTGGCTTCATAAGCCCCTGCAACAAGTGACTGGAGACCATACAAGCTGGGAAATTCTGGGAGAATGGTCCTGACTAAAGTCAATCTCTTAGTCGATATTTAATATTTAATAAATGCTTACTTCCAATTTGGTTCAAAATGATATTTCCCATTTTGTTTTGTTCAGTTTTTTGTTTTGTTTTTCCTGGCGAATGGCAAGACTAACAGGTACTTGTTTCTACATTGGGTCCCTTCTCTCCTTTGCTGCTTTTGCCTAATGGCCAGTTCTGAGACTCATGTCCATCTGTTTTAGGACGGTAGAGTGCTTTCTGAATCCTATCTCTTCATGGGGTTTTAGGAATCTACTCTTAAGGATAAGTGCTTTCTGAAAAATTACAGCAGACAGGCCTTTTAATTCTTAGCCTTATCTTGAGCTACTGTTCAAGGGAGTTGCTTTACTTCAGGCCGTTTGAGTGCCTTTCACTGTTCCTCTCAGGGCCTAGCTCTTGGTATCTCTAATATTGACCTGCCCAATGCCAAAAATCTCTTCTTATTGTTACAGTCCATCTTCTCATAGCATGCCATTTTGTGTTACATATGAATGTAACCACCAGATACCTAGAAATTACATGAGTGGCAGATAGAAAATTAGATCAGTTTTTGTACATGTTTCTAGTGAAATTTAATGCTATTAGTTGTTGTCATAGTATTTATCTTCTTTAATTTTATGTAGGAAATAAAATGATTGTATTATATAGATAACATGATTTCTCGTAGAAACTGTCTCTATGTTTCCTGCATGCTACTATTTTATTCAAATGAGAAATAAGCACACAGAAGTATAGCTGTGCTGTCCAATAGGGCAGACATGGAGCTGTTAGGGCTTGTCATATGTTTTGTTTGAATTGAGATGTTCTATAATTACAGGACATCAAGATGCTTCCAAAGGTCCTAGAGATGGGAATATACCTCCTTAGTACGTTTTATATTAATTATATGTTCAATTGAAAATTTCCTTCATATTTATGGTTAAATAAAAGTCAGCTCTGAAATCTCTTTCCCATGTTTTTCCTTTTCTTTTTGAGGGTGGCAGTAATACAACTCAGATGATCTCTGTGGCTTGCTCTCCTTTCCTCTGGGTATCTTTGTTTCAGAGGACGTGGGTGTATGTAGTAAGTTTATAAACATGGAAAGCAAAGTGAGTGCAGAACCATAAAGCAGAAGAAGTTACAATGGAGGCAGGAAATTTCTTCATAGATTAAAATGTTTTTGAATTCATGGACACACCAACATGCCTCCTGCCTGACAAGCTTCTCAGATGACTTGAGAGTCTGCAGAGGATGAGCCAAACAGCAACTCTCTAAGGTTCGCTATGTGGCACCTAACCCCAATGTCTCAAAAAATGATATTGATTTTTTCATTTCTTTTACCACAGCATTTCAATATGCCTTAGATTTATTACCTCCAGGATCTGGGTTAAGACTCAGTGGTGGGCATGATAGCAAGGGTGGTTATAAGTTATGTAGATATTGTTGAATTTATGAACTCTGCAGTTTCAGAGAAGCTTTCAATTCAGGAAATATATTAACCACATACACATCACACTTCATTTTGTGGTGAGGATTTCCAAGCTGGGTTCCCTACTGTGCCACTTAATTTATGGTCTGACCAGGTATACGCATTGCCATACAATATTTCAATATAAGTTGTGTTAGCCATCAGAGGAGATGAGGGTGAGTTTCAGAGAAGCCAGCTGGACGACTTATGGATCACTCTCCTACACAGGCTGGGGCACTAAGTAGCCTATGGAGCTTTACTGCTGGATGGGTCTTTTTCTGCTCTGAGACGCTGCACATTCCAGCCGAGACAAGCAGAGTCAGCCATGCTGCAGCAGGCAGAGGGCAGCTCCCAGAGTTACTTACGTTGACAGCCGTAGTACCAGGAATTTCCTGGCAGACACTCATCACATTTAGGCCCTGTTGTTCCAGTCTTACACTCACAAAATCCTGAGCCATTACAACGATCATGGATTGAACCCAAAGGGTTACAATAACACTCTGTAGAAACAAGACAATACACAGGCTGGAGACACGTCAAGTGGCTTAGAAGTTATCAACACAGGAGCGTCACTTACTTAGAAGGATTCACTTACTTAAAGAAAGATGTCCATTAATGAAATGTTTTGGCAAATGTGCCTATTTCAGGGCCATTTATTTACTTTCTCAGCCTTCCATGGTATCATCTTTATGATATGGGAGAAAAAGAACTGAACCCTTCCAAGGAAATAAGACATCATGCTTTCACCAGTAACAGATCATAATGGAGATTCCATTTGTTAGGACATTTTTTTAGACGGTTTAATGAATGCCATGAGAAGTGTGTATATCAAGGATAAATCAATATTCCATCAGTGTAAAATCTGTTTTAAATTATTCAAATGGGTTTATCTGCTACACTCAATATCTGGGAATGGCTGAATGTCTCAAAGTGCAATACGGATGCACTTTACTCATTTAAAGGTAGTTTTGCTTTATGATTTGGGACGGTGCCTTAACTTATTTATGTGTATCAGGCTTTGAGATGAGCCCTTAGTCGATGTGTTTGCTGGCCATGATCACTCAGCTCTTATGTAACTTAGGTGAACAACCATGAAAGAAAAATAAATTTCATACTCCCAATCTGAAGGAAGATAAACTGAGATGTATGTTTGTCTTTGCAACTTCCTTGTCTGAGTGAGGTAATGGGTTGTCATATTAAAAAGCCAAGGGAATGGTTCTTTGATCCCCACACAGGGCATTTTAATGTCTGAAGCTTTATAGTGTTCAAAGCTTAAGTGGGAAGTGGGAAACTTGTCCCATAGCTGGAGGCACACAGGTGGTTTGGAGCAAGGGATTTCTGAGCTGGTGTTCTTTTCACCACTATCATGCTGTGGGATCTTGGGCAGGTTAGTACTACTTTCTGTTTCTCAATCTTCTTTGTTTTAAAGATGAAACCATTGTGAGGATCTCTCAGGAAACGTTTGGATAAAATCGTGTAGCCAACCAGTTGACTAAAGCCCTGGGGAGTTCAGCTTAATTATAACTAAGTTGTATCATTAGCAATGAGAATTTGGAATTATCATTGTGAATAGACCTGGAGGTTTTGCCAAATTTTGTCATTGAGACAAATGAAAATTTCTTCAAATGATGTGGAGGACCTTTAAATTATGGTTTATGTTGTATTAAGTCAGTATTTAAAGCTCAGTATTCTCATAAAACAGTTAGTTTTATAATGATGTGTGTGTGTAACTAAAATAAAATTCAAAACATTTCTACTTTTCGCTGGCAGCATTATCTATTCTAATGTGTGTCTATGTGTAAATAGGAATAATTAAAAATTATTATTTTGTTGTGATTTTTAATGTTTGTTTATACGTTTTTATTCACTGAGTTGTGCCTACATCACTCTGGAATGGGTCGCCCTTTATAAAGTGGGCATGTTGATAAAGAGTTGTTGGTGTTTTGTAAGCCAGTTGGAGTTACACCTGGGCAGCATGTACCTGCATGCTGTTCCAAGTAGTCCACAGTGATCAAAGAGATAGGTTTTTAAAAATTAAAAAAAAATACACTGTCCAACATCTAATCCATAGTAACCCCCAGTCTTTGTTGTAAGAAAGATGAACAATGTAATCTTAGTCATAAAATTAAATGGGCAAGAGACATAATGTTTTCCCTTCTTCACTTTATACACAAGTAATAGTTTTTTAGATCTATCACTTATGAAGTTCTATTCAATGATACATGGTATAGTAGGAGTGACCGTGAGGATAATATTTTATTACATGAAAGTATAAAGAAAATACAGGGCTGTCAGATTGCAAACCAGCATAAAATACTTTGCACAGCTCAATTAAAACGTTATGCTACTATTTATTTATGGGCATTAAAATCGTCTTGAGTTTCCTTGGTTCTGTGTAAAGAAACCTCTCATTACCTGATCGTGGGTTTCAAGGAGAATTAAAAATAATGCATAATAACTTTGAGATATGTTTAGTAGCAACTGCTGAGCCCTGTGTTTCTCTCTGATGCAAAGCTCATTAGGGGAATTATTAGCAGTGATTACTCAAGGTCAGAAACCACGTATCCTTTAGCTTCCTGCTTAATGCTCAAGTTTGTAAGAAGCAAAAGCATACAAGGATGCCACTTTCATGTAATTGTTGAATCATCATGGGGAAATGGCATGTATCTCAGAAGACATGACTGTATGTCTTCTTGGAATATGTATGAAAATCAAATAAATTCACCAGTAACCACAAAGCAGCAATCACCGTGGCAACATGAACTATCCAGCTGCATTATATATTCACTATAATATAAAGTGATATCAAACATCTAGATAGCTCAGTGATGTGAGCTATTCCCTCAAAGCTGGATGGTGAATTAAAAAAAATTGCAAGGCATATTTTGAAAAAAAGGTTTTTTAAAAAAATTTAGAGGTGTAGATAGAGTTCAAAGTGTTTGAGATTAGTACCCAACGCTGTGAGAATGAGTTAAGCAAATATCCATTCAATTCCTTTAGTTTTGTCTGGACTAAATAGCAATTAGTTCTCAATTGCTGTGGTAGGGACTTACAAATTAAGTATTCAATCTTTCGCTGTAAGATGTTTTTACTTTGCTTTCTTTAAAGTATTTAAATGTGAAATACTTTAAATAAATATATATATATGTATATATATATATACATATATATATATATGTGTATGCATATGTATATGTATAATGGGTTAGGGTTTGCTCTAGTGGTTCTATTCACTTAACCGTTTCTGTTCTTTCTGTATTTATTACAAGGTTATATTTTCACAAGTGGCATAAGGCAGAATATATTCGACATTCAAAATTAAGACAGCTGTGCATCTTTTTGTTTCTATTAATATCCTCAAGTCTTCGTAATCTAAGTGTTAAGAAGGTAATTGGATACCTTTTCATAAGATGACAGTAGGATGGCCGCTGTCATGAAAAAGCATACTTGAGGTAAAGTTTAGGCATCTTTTGCTTTGCTAGCTGTTCTAAAGTCCTTGGGAGAGAGTGTTCAGTCTATAAAGTCAGGATGTTCTTTGCTAAGAATATACAAGTTGGGTCAATTTGTCTTCCACCCTCCCCAAATAAAAAAGAGAAAAAATCATTATTATAATACTTACCCTACTGTTTTGTTAATGAGAATTAGTTGGATTTTTTTTGTTGTTGTTCTTTAATTGCAGGTCAGTGCATGCTTTACCAGTGTTTCCTGTCCACTTGCTTACAACAAAGCCAGGAGGTTTAAATGACTTACCTAAGGCACATAGCTAGTGAATAGCACATTGGGTCTTGAACCCAGCTCTCCAGCATCTAACTCCAGTACCTTCTCCACTAATTCCCAAATTATAAATAAGGAAGCATTTTGAAAGAAATAGAAAAAACTGCAGACATAAACAGTATTGTGAATACTTGGTCCAAATAAGTTCAAAATAACCATAGAGCTATTCAATGATAGTAGACAAGAATGTCTATGATTGTCACACTGTAAGCAGAAAGGGGGGATCCAAGACACACAGTTGAATTGGAAAACTGCCTCTTTTTTTGATAAAACATCATTTTTCATTTTCCATCTAGTATGCTCTACAACTTATCCACTCTACTGAACTTTGTTTCTGGAAATCTCTGCCTGTATAATTACTGGTGTGGCAATAGGCACTTCAAATATATGCATTTTTTTAGAGTAAATTATACAATGAAATTCCATTTATTGTTTCTCTATAAGGCTGTTTCATACCACTGTTTTGAGTTAGGAGCTCATGCAATACAGGCTGGTTTCTATCCATGATGTAACCAAAGCCTGTCTCAAGTTTCTGATTCTTTTCATTTATCCACCACTTGCACTGATGGCCCAGCATGCCTGGCTCCAGACTTCCTTCCTTAAAGTAAGGCTCTTCAAATAGAAGGTAGAAGAAACTTTTGCAAAAGGGAAGGAGCACCTGATCCTTCCCAGCTGAGAAGAATCAGTCATGGGAGAGGGACAAAGCTCCTTGGATTTCTCCTTCCTACATCCTATTTTCTATGGCTCATATGTGTTATGATTTAACAGAATTTATAACCTGGAGAAGTTTTGAGAAACTACTCTTCCTCTGGGAACAATAGGAAAATCCAATAAATGGAATTTCATTACTGTTGATATAAAAGTTAGGCAAACTTTCGCATTAGAACTTGCTAGAAGCTCTCAATTCATAATAGCAACATTTTTTAATGTACCAATATTTGTAGATCATCATCAATTATACCTGAGTCTCTACCACAAAGGTTCTTACCTAATACAGTTAATTATCATCTTAAAAGTTGAATTTACAATTTGAGGTGAGTAAAATCAGATAAAAAATTTATCAGATTTTAAGATTTCATGCAAATAATTAAAGAGACAAAAGGAAGAAAGAAAAGACCAGAGAAAGAAAATTTGAATATTTTCATTTCCTAAATATGATTTCTCATGACATCATCTTCAATGTAACAATATAAAGAATCAAATACCACCCCCACCCCCCAAACCAAATATGGCTTTATCCAAATGCAAGCGAACTTTCAGTCTACCAAGGATATTTACTCCATTGAGGATATTCATTCTGGCTCAGCTGTCGTGCAGATCACCAGCTTCTTCACCCTAACCAGCTCCCCATAGCTCCAAAAGCACAGAACAAAAGCTGAAATCATAATGGAACTGACCTATGCACACATTCTCATCGTCCAGCTGTGCAGAAGCATTTCTGAAGTAGCCCAGCCTGCATAACTCACAGTGCTGACCTCTAGTGTTGTGTTTACAGCTCACGCAAATGACTGTATTTAGCAGATCGATATAACTGCACCGATTGGAGTGGCCGAAGCATTCACAGTCTTGCAAGGAAGAACAGAAATGTATACGGAATGTATACAGCAGCAGAGAAATAGCACGCTACATGCTTGGGTGACATGAAGGATGGAGAAAAGATGATGGCCATGGCGTTACATATATGGCAACCAACATGACACAGGGTGACAACAGGTGGCTGTTTCAAGCAGGATAGAAAGGTTGAACAAATACTACTGAAGATTGTTAATTCTTGGCAGACAAGATGAACAGAAGCATTTGCAGGTGCACACCTTTTAAAATTTTGGGAAGGCTCGATTTAAACGGATGCAAAAGTCTAATTTTTCACATGAAAAACTTTACTGACTTTGCATCATTTCCCCCATTTTCCTCCCATCTTTGTAGCCCTAAAAAGAGGGAGGGATGCATATGAGCAGCAGCAGGTGTGTGGATCTGCTGACTCCCGTGGCTCTTTTGTCTCATTGTTTTTCTTTTCGCTTATGATGTTGGTGGAGTTCTATCTACACCAGGGCTAGTTCATAAGGACTGAGACAATGACACAGGTTTTGATTTTGTTTTTCTCCAATGTTAGGAGGATATGACTTTCTTGTTTCTTTCAAGTCAAATATTCATGATTATGTGTTATAGAAAATATACAATACAGGGAGATTATTCCTATGGAAAACAGTTAAAATATCCTTCTCTTGAGTTTCTTACTATGTCTGGTACTAAAGGGGAGTTCAGCGACCTACTGTACCCCTAATTCCTTTTCCCTTTTCTCTTTAAAATCCAGAGATGCCCAGGAGGAGTGATATGGTATGAGCTACAGAGACATGAGGAGGGTGGGAGCTGGGAAGTGGTTGGAGAGTCATCAGCTTTTCTCTCTTGCATCTCACCCAACCCAAGAAATTGTTTAAATCTAATTCAACCTTCAAAAATAAATGATAAAAAAACCCAATGATTTCATTGGAATAACTAACTATTTAATACGTCTCAAAAAATCAGGAGAGACAGTTCAATCGGAATCAAAATATGAGGATTTGCCTAGCTGACATTAATAAGAAAATTGAACTATGATTCTGCAAACTGTGTTTGTTTACAATACTCTTCTCATTAATGTTTTATATTACTCAGCAACAAAGTCAAACAAAGTAACGATTTGAACTCATTCATTCATTCATTCATCCTTTCTTCCATTCAGTATTTTATTGAAACAGAATTACTATAGGTGCTAATTTACTTCTTTAAGCTTACACTGTTTTTTTTTTTAAGAAATATAACATCTTCGAATCAGAGTGAAAATGTGTATATAAATTAAGAAAGCAAGGAGATGTGATATATACATACATCTATACATACACATATAAATATGCCATATTTACTACATTTACTATTTCTCAACTTATCAGAACAGTGTAGATTCATTAATCAGAGATCTGGTTTACTTTAATAAACACTAAGATTAAAGGTAAGATCCTGATGATAAGAAATCCAGTTTGGCTAAAAGAAGGGGAGGACATGGGAGATGATGAAAAGTAGAAGAGGGCCATTGCAGTGTCAGCAACTTGTTGGATCTAGTTGCTTAAAAGAGAAGCAAGAACAAAGCGGGAATCTGGAAGCCACACGACTCCATTGGAGATTAGTTATATAGAGGTGTAGGAGTAGGGCTGTGGATGAAAACAGGAAGGACCAGGTAGAAGAGAAGGATTGAGAGAAAGAGACTGTGGGACTTCAGTGTGAGAGCGAAAGGATCGGAATAAAATGGAGTAAGATGTGCCAAGTGAATAACAATATTACCAACAGCAGCAAAGTTACAGATCTTGAAGTGAATTACTTTGGAAAACAAGTTACCCAACCTACAATTCCTTCATTTCTGTGGTGGCACTGAGTATTTGTGGGTCTCACTTGAAAATCAAATTATTAATTTGTTAGGAGAATTGATAACAGTTATTTAATAAAGAATAATCTATTACACCTGTACTATTATAAGTATATTTCCAACGATTAATGGATATTAAAAATCAAAGATCTAGGAAGTAGGCTGATGACAACTTGGTTTTTTTAAAGACTTTTCTACAATGTTTCTGAGACCTTGGAAAAGCTGTCCTCTCTGGCAATAATATATTTGAGAATATAAAATTAAAAAAGTATTTGAAACTTATTTGGAAGGCATTAGAGGAATATATATAGTATCCATTCATTAAGTTATATAGAATTTAGGTGTGAATAATTTTGGTATGATGTTTTAATTTATTTAAACGTTTTTTATAATAAAGTTTATAACAATTATCCAAAGGGATAATTCATAAGTGATTACTACACTGTCCTATTTTTTCAGGCTATTAATTTACCATCATTTACTATCTAGTTTTCTATTCAAGCACAGAGCCATGCATGATCCTTCCTGATATGATCAATTTGAGTTGTACTGCACATGTAAAGTCCCAAGGTATGATACTATTTGATAAATTTTTAGTTCCTCATTTTCCTGACCTAGCACATCTTCCCTTCTTTTCTTGCGATGCCTAGAATCTATGGTACTTTCTTAGAACTTCACTTCCTTCTATATTCTCTACTACCCTCTTACTTCCACACAGTCTTCTGGGGAAAACTGTTCATGGCTAAATTCAATTCTCTACTTCACTATGCTAAAATGTTAGCAGGCACACATGGATGGGAATATATTTCCCAACTGAAACAAGTTTTATTTGAAACAAGTTTCTCTTTTTAAAAATATTATTATTATTAGATATTTATTTATTTACATTTCAAATGTTATCCCCTTTCCCAGTTTACCCTCCATAAAACCCCTATCCCATCCCCACCACCCGTGCTTCTATGAGGATGTTTCCCACCCACCCACACAGGCCTCCCCACCCTGGTGTTCCCCTACAAGTTGTAGTTCATCATTAACCACAGTTTTGTCCTTTGGGTTACCTGGCAATCTTGCCTTAAAGAGTCACAGAATAACCCTGGATGTAGGATTTCCTCCTTCCACACTAATTGTTTTTGTTGTTATACACTTGCTTTTTGTCTTCACACTTGACATGTTTCAGAGTTTAGTTCTTGGGCCTTTATGCTTTTTAGATGACCCTAGATATTTTTATGAGTTTAAAAATCATATATATGTAGACTTTAAAAATATCTCTATGTAGAACACTCCAAAATACTATTTTCCAACCTGAACCAACTCCCTAGTAAGACTCCATTCAGATGCTTGTCTTACACTTGGCACCCTTTGCTCCATCTTCACTAGTACATTTAAATAACATCTTAATGTTGGCATGTATGAAACTAAGATGCTGGGATCCTACCCCAGCCCTGCTGCTCAACCAGTGCCTGCATCTTAAAAAATACCAAGTTCACCTCTCCTACTACTTACGTTGTAACGCCAGGGTTGTCCTCGGCATCTCTTCTTTTTCTACTTACAACCAGTCAATGAGTCAACCCACTTGGCTATGTTTTTTATAACAGGGGCAAAGCTGACTTCTCACCATCTCCACCATCTCATCCTGAGCTACAGATAACATGGCCCTTCACTGACATTACTGTCATCATCTCTAAGCTGCATTTCCTGGCAGTGAGAATGACCCAATAGAAACTCAGATTAGCTCAGGGTGCCTCACTCCGCACCATCCTATTGGCTTCCCATCTCATTTATATTAGTAAGTTCCCTGTTTCTTTAGTTTATCAACCCTTGGCTTCTTCCTGACTCTTTCTATTCTTTTCTTCACTTGTTGCAGGACCCCTCTTTATTGCTCTTGAAACACACCAAGTGTATTTCCATGTCTATGTATTCCTCTCCTGACATCTCCTCAAACACTGCTCAGTACTTGCTGCCCCAGAACTTTCTGCGTCAAGTCCAGGCCAAAGAAAATTCTGAGTACTTCATCTGAAATAATAACCCTGCCACTTAAACACACTAATCTTCCAATATCTTAATTCGATTTTGTATTTTTATTAGCATTTATAATATCTGAAAATTGCATTTTCAAAAGGTCTTGCTATTTGTTCAGTATAAACACATGACTGTAGACCATATCTGCTTTGCTTGAACCTATAACCACAGAACTTAAAGCATTGCCTGACATATGCTAATCACTCAGAAATTCTATTGAATGAGAAAATAAATGAATGAATAATGATTCCAAAGTACTCTCCCACAGGAGATAGAGGAAAACAAAGAGGAAAGAGAGGTTTAAATTTATTCTTCTACCACTCAAATCCCAAGAAAGTTCAACTATGTCCTACACATTATACAGTTTAGAAAAACAGCACCACACAATAAGATCTAACTGAGTTAGTGATTATATTAGCTGAGTGAATGCATTTGTGTACAGATCAATTTAGGAAGAAAAAAAGTAGCTTTCTGCACATTGCCATGCCTTTATATTTTTAAATTTCAAGTCACATTGTAATATATAGCATAACAGGTATGTGTTATTGCCTCAGTAAACAGAGCTGAAGTCTCTAAAGCACACATTCACGAGTACATGGTGTGACAGGGCAAGCACAGGCAACAAATTTACCAAGATTCTCATGTACCAGGCACCTTATGTGAGGAGGTAAAGAGAAAGAGGTCCAGTCATGCATGAGTGTGATTGACACTTAGAGTCAGATACTTTGTTGGAATGGGCTCTCCTGTGCACTGAAGGAAATGCAGAAGTGTCATCAACCTTAGAAACAGTAGAAAATTCCAGTGTGCAACGATCAAGTATGTCTTCAGATGTCTTTAGCCATGGACTAGTGATCTACTCAGAAGACATTTGCTATTATGCCTAGGTCTATTATATATATATATATATATATATATATATATATGTCTATTTATGTACCTATTTTTATCTCTTTATGGCACATGTTCTGTCATGCAAGGTGTTTATGATAATGAGGCACTTATTAGTGACCAGTTAAGATTAAGGAAGGCTAGAGATAGTTTTGAGAGGGAAAGAGATCATAGTTGGCTCTTTAATTGACTTGTTAATTGGTTTTCCATGGCAACCAAGGCCCACAGCCCTCTCAGGGTTTTCACAAGGTTTCTTCTGAC